AAACTAGGGAGGTCCGGGGGGGGGGGCGTGTTTTTTTACCGTAATGCGTAAAATCGCCACCACACCATAGACGGTATTTAGGGTACTTGTATATATAAGATAGCCGAGTCGGTTTACATTTAGTGTTAGGGTTTTTGGTGACTGTTTTTACTTGTGTGTGGTCTGCAGTTCATGCCTAGTGTAGGAGGTTTACGCATTAGTGGTACCGTAAAAATACACGCGTCCGGGGGGCCTGGTCGGATGGGAATTCTTGACCATCTATTCCTGCGCTGTCAAACTTTTATTGTGGTAGAATTTAATCGGGGCGGAGGTAATTTAAACGGGGCGCAAGCCGCGCAACGATTGAAACGTGGGGGAGCTTTCCCAAACGGGGCGGGCGCGCCCGGTTTGCGCAACATAGGGAGGGGCCTGAATAGGAGTATTTTGTGAATCTACAGGTATTGTACTGTATGTAATTCAGCTTCTTTCTACACCAAGGTGGCACGAATGGCAGCTACGGTCGTGCTTCGAGTTAATTTTGTTGCAGTTTTCCTAGCTTGTTGGTGTTGCCCCTGGAGTTGCTAGCCCTTGACTGAAACCCTTCTCCTTTATCTTGGCTTGTAACTGGATGGGGTGTAGTTTTATCTGCCATAGTAGTAACGTGTGCGTGCCTGCGATTGTGCAGGTACCCGCTGTATGCGCTGCTCTCGGAGCCATCATCCTACATCTTCATCGGCATCACGCAGGATGCAGAGAGGGAGGAGTTCTACGACGAGGAGAGGAGGCTGTGCGACCTTCGGCTTTTCCAACCCATCCTCAAGATTGTCGAGCCGGAGGGCAATCGCGAGGAGAAAATGCTCAACTATGAGATAGGTGCGCATGAGTGTTGTGTGCGTATCCACGCGCGCATGTGTGCGTGCGTGCGTGCGTGCGTGCATGCATGCGTGTGTGTGATTGTGTCATGCCTCACCCATCTCATTGTACTGCTACATGTCATGTCATCATACGTTCATGATATACTTCATCGTACGATTGCTCAATATTTCGCTTCTCTCAGGTCTTGCCATAGGAATGCCGCTGGCAGAATTGGATGAGATGAAGGAACATGAACTGATTGAGTTTCGACGCAACATGGTCGCTGTTTGCGAGGAAGCGATCAAACTTCGCGAGGAGTCAGGTGACGCCCTCTACGTGTATCCGCCACACGTCGAGTCGTCGCCGGAGCTTCCCGCGAACATTCTCTACAAGCTGGATGAAGGTACGCTCGTAACATGCAGCACATACATCCATGTGTGCCGAGTGTGAAGCAGTGCTTGTCTTGATGCTTCAGATTTCATCACGGTACGAACATCACATACTGTTGTTGCCCTTCTTACTTGCTGTCGTGCGTCACAAAACTGACAGATTAATATTCATGGCAATAATGGTTGCCCTACCTGGTTTGTCTCTAGGGACCTAAAGTTCCAAGTTGAAATCAAGGCAATGCTTTCCTTAAAACGTACATATTCTACCTCTAAGGCAGTAGGACTCGCACGTCAGTGCTTTCCAGTCAACAGAGCTTATTGATGAGCTATCGGTTCATTGCTCGATTTAGTGATCAGTTTATTGATTAGCTATCAGTTCACTACTGTGTGTTACTCACGCATAATATGATAACATTGGTGGTAATCTTGCAGGGCAGCTTGTTATTGCCATCTGGGTGTTGGCTCAAGTTGGTGGAAATCAGAAGTACTCTGTGAAGGTTGCATACAACGCCCTGCCCGAAGCCATCATCGGTAAGGTTTGAGCAATCAGGGGGGGGGGGAGATATCCCCCATCCTAAAATATGTGTATCATTAATATAGCATGGCGTGACATGCCATCTTTCATACATGCTATGCTATCCTAAACTCAAAATATTTCATACAAACGGTTTGTATTACACTGATCTCTCGTTACTTGGCAGAGGCGGCGATCCGTAAGAAGGCGCGGAGCATGCAGATCAGCAGCGAGGAGCAGCAGCGTTGCGTAAAGGAGTACAAAAACAACTACTTGCTCAAAGTTTGCGGGTGCAACCAATACATGCTGGGTGCCCATCCGGCATGTCAGTACCAGGTAAGTGTTACGCCAGCGCACAAGTGAGGCTTGCCCTGCCAGAGAAGTCACCATAGTACTAGTTCATTGTTTGATGCAGTTCTCACTTGAATCTCAAAAGGAATGTCAAATGGATAACAATAAATCCAAAAACATTTGCTAGTGTTTTAAAATCACGTTCATCGTTAGTGCTCTACAGATAACACTTTCATTGTTAGTGCTCTACAGATAACACG